CACAAAACAAGATAAACAAGACATCCAAGTAAAAGATATGTTATTATAGGGGGTTACAAAAACTAAGTAAATTGAATAAAAATAAAATATATATAAAAATGAATAGAGACAGCAATTCAAGGTTTTACATTTCAATTAACTTTAAATCTGTAGCTAATAAATAATTATTTTTAAGAGCGTGAAGAAAAAATATTTCGACCTTAAAACATGGTTTAAAATATTTGTATATAATAATTTTATCGTTTTAATTGTATAATAATAATAATAATACCAATGTTACTCCTTTTGCTTAAAATAAAATTTTAATTAATTAAAATAAATAAAATGATTGATTAATAAATAAATTACATTTCATTTCAAGTAAATAAATGAGTAAATTACAATAAAATTAATTGAGCACAATAAATAAATAGAGACAGCATTTCAGGGTTTTACATTTCAATTAACTGTAAATCTGTAGCTAATAGATAATTCTAGTTTTTTTTTATCAGTAGCTTTAAGAGAGTCAAGAAAAAATATGGTTTAGAATATTTTTATATAATAATTTTATCATTTTAATTGTATAATAATAATGTTGAGTTACTCCTTTTGCTTTTATGTATATGAAATTTGCCAAATAATTTAATAGGGTTCACCAGAATAATTTTTTTTATTTAAATGTATAAAAACATCTTTGCTCGTAATATGCTGGCAGATGTTTTAGACTATTCCTCCTGCGTCACAGCTGTTCGTGTGATCTGGCGCTCTCTGCTGTGACGCACAGTGACGCACAGTGCGTGCTGACGTTGACGTGAGTTTGAATCCTCCGGCCGCTGGTGCCGCAGAGAGCGGAGACTCCCGGCCGCTGTGGCCGCTGTCGGACGCTCCGCTGTCGGTGAGAGAGGAGCGCGGAGCCGCCGTGGCGCGTACGGTAACGTTCAGGCGTTTTGTGTTGTAATTCATTATCCTAATTAAAATCAGTTATTTGTTGCCTTATGACGTCATGATTGCATTTACACCTTGTTTACACTTTAATGCAGTGTGACAAAACTAGAGCTTCAGGTAACGTTACAGTAAAAGCAGCCGTAGTGCAGACGACTTTGTCGATTTGACAGAGAGACAGTGTTTACATCATGCTTCTTGTTGTGAGCGTGTCTGCGCGCGTGCGCGTGCGTGCGCGTGCGTGTGTGTGTGTGTGAGTGTGCGTGAGTGTGCGAGTGTGTGCGAGTGTGTGAGTGTGAGTGTGTGAGTGTGTGTGTGTGCGAGTGTGTGAGTGAGTGTGAGCGTGTCTGCGTGTGTGCGTGTGTGTGTGTGTGTGTGTGTGTGTGTGTGTGCGTGTGTGTGTGTGCGC